GACATTAATTTTAGACAAAATTAAGTCTAAGCATGGATTTCAATGGTATTTAACCATGGGCAAAGAATGTGTCAACATTTAGCTTAGCTGTTATTAATTTTACTTGATAATAACAGTAAGTTTGGAAATGCCACCACGTTTAATTCTCTCATAGTAAATATGATGCATGCCTCTTACACTGATGGATGCTTAATAACTTTATTTATATATTTATTTACTTATTTTTGTATCTTAGGGAAGGGTCTACAAGGTGTTCAGGGTCTCACTACTAGACTGAACTTGTAGTAATCTGCCTGTTTACAGCCTTCCAAGAGCTGGGATTACAGGCACGCACCACCACACCATTGCCATCTCAGGGTGCCCCAGTGGGCGGGACCGGAAGGGCAGGGCGCCCTGGGGGATCAAACCCCCAGCCCCTGTGCCTGCTTGCAGACACTTTAATCCCCTGAGTTATTTGGCCAGCCCCCAGATGCTTAACAACTTTAGTGGAATAAATTCTTGCATCTTAGTCCATAAGATAGAAACCTCTTTAATTGGATGTATCTATGATAGTAGGACTGTCCTACTGCAGTTAGATTATCTTAAATACTAGTAATATGTTGAATATAAATAAAATATTAAAATACATATATTTTGATGATAGAATATATATATATATATATATAGTCTCCTACCGTTGTCATATAGAGCAATTCCTAAATGACAAAAATACACAACCAAAATGAGCCAACTGAGTAACACCACAAAGAAACTTTGTATAGCAAATAAAACTGTATTGGAATTGAAGAAACATAAAAATGTATGGCAAAGTATTTCCTACAAAATATGCTCTACAATTATTTTCTCCACAGAAATACAATGATACAAAAACATCTAAACCAGCTTCATGCTGTGGTGAATTTAATTCGATTCCCCAGTTTTATAAGTGATTATTTTGTTCACAAATACAATTTTCATTTAAAATCTTTTACCCTTAGTCAAATTGCTTTCAAATTCAAGGTTAGTTTCAGCAGCTAACAAAAATGGTGATTCCAGTTTCTGGTGGTGTGTAAGATACTGAAATGAAATCTTATAAATTATCATCTCCGGTAACTTAATTATTTTTGTGAGTGTGTGCATGTATGCATGTGTGTAACTGTATGGAAGTGTATGTATATTTCTCTTTAATGTTGATACTCATGTTTAAATTGTACATTTATATAGCTTTTATAGTGGTGCCCACTGTTACCTTATCTGTTTGACTGACAATGATGGGATTTCAGTCATGCTCAACCTTTCTGACAGTGCCAGTGATGGGATTTTTTGAAATCTTATTACTACTTGCACTGCCTTGATCTCAGATGGAACTTTCAATCAAAAAGGCAATCAGAAGGTTATACATTCGTGAGATTCCCTGCAAAGCCAGTGATCGCATAATACAACTTGTTGGAAGGGACTACTTGCCTTCAGTCCTTATGTGGCTATAAAGAATAATTGGCTACTTAGCTCTCAGCACCAGCTTTTCCTTCTGAAAGGCACACCATAGCCTATCACTCCACTGAATCTCAGTGTGGAATCTGGCTTCTCCTGGGAGAGTTCTACATCTCACGCAGAGACTTGTCTTACTTTAAGCATATGATTAAGAAACTCCCCCAAAGACACATTTGTCTGTTTTCTAAGCATCCTAGCTAGGCTGGTGACTTCAAGGAATTGTTATATTTTATATACCCATACATTTTCCCAAAATATTTCCACTGCATTTTTCATGTCTTGCAGCTCACAATTCTATGAGGTAAGGTTAGCACATTAATTTAATTTATAGCATATTTTAATTATCCTGCTATAAAATATTTTTCAACTTGCAATATTTGTACTCATAAAAATCATTGTAAAAAGCAACACTTTCATACTCTATACGTATACGAAAGAGTAAGAGATACCAAAATGCCAACTGACTAAAGAGTTGTAGGTGAAAAATAACCGTACACATAATAAATATGTTAAAAATGAATATTGATGGGACAGAAAACAATACACAGACATAGAAATACTCATTTTAAGAAAGTTTTGAAAGTGTAATAAATTGAGCATGGAATACATTCTAAAAAAGGTTAACATCATTTATTTCTTTTGATTAGGGAAGTTTTGCTAAGTCTTTTCCTAAAGCCAAAGAGTCAGTCAAATTGAGTGTGTGTGTGTGTGTGTGTGTGTGTGTGTGTGTATGTGTGTGAGTGTGTTTTCAGGTATACTTTTAATGTCAGGGCACACTAAAAGCATTGTTTGTACAGTATATCATGATTATGAACACAGTATTAGTCACTTTACCCCATATTATAAAATCTAGAATTACTTTTTATTTACAGAATGCTACAACAGTCACTGTAAAATATTAATAAGGGATTCATGATTTTATCTCTCATCCCAGGCAAAATAATTTTTAAACAAAATACGGACAGGTGATATACCAAACATTTTCTCGCAGCACAAAAATATCTGAAAATTATCCTATCAATTACCAACATCGTAGGATACAAATCTTATATTTCCTGAAAAGCAATAGTGTGATATTTGTGTTAGATATGATTGTGTGATCTATGGCACTTCACTGCAAAATAAATAGAAACATCTGATGTATAAGAGATAAATATAGCCTCACCTCGAGTTGGAATGTGTAAGATAGTTGCAATATTGCTATTGATTATGACTATAAGCACTCTCAATAATTTATCATCACATACTCCTTTCAGCACTGCACTACCATGGTCTATGTAAGTCAGCTTGGATCATCATTTGACCTCAGTAAAGTACAGGTGGCTATGAAATTTTGAGTACAATATTCAAATATTGAGTTTCCCTCAGTGCGGGCAGCACCTAGAAGGTGTTGCCTTTGGTTTCCTAAACCAAACCCATGCTTGTCTTAAGCACCTTCAAAATGGTGCGCGAGGTGGGAGCTGAACAAAGCCTAACTAGGTTTGCCTGTGCAGTCTTATTTTAATGACAATCTTTCTCTGAGGCATGGGACAATCTGCAACGCAGTCTAATGCTCTCTTGCCAAAACTAACTCTCTTAACTCTTTATTTTTCCAAGTTTTAGATCTATAATCTTGTTTGAAAGATTTCCCTACCCAATGCTGCTTCTTCATTTTATGGTTTTTCTTCTAACACTGCCTCAGCATCTGCTTCCGGCAGCACCCAAATGACACAGCTGAACTGTGTCACAGCACTCCAGGTTTTCCATCTTCCTTTGCATAACTGCTGATGGCTTGCTATATGATAATTAGCAAGCCATTTATTTTCTGTAGTTATATATAGAGAGAGTCCCTTACAAATAAAAGTAGGTCCTTGGGATGGTTTAATTAAATATTTTAGGACTTTAAAGTTGATAATTCTGTTCAATTGTTTTCATTTAGCTGGAAAAAATAATGACAACAAAGGTATTTATAAAAATATATTTCACAAAGTAGGAAACAATACAGGAGTTTCTCTGAATACAATACATGGATTAAATAAACAATATTGCATTAAAGCAAAGTAGAAAATTAAAATGATCTGCATGTAATACTTGAGTTTTATCATACATTTTCTACTCCTAAATGGCAGGTTTGCATTGCAAATTAAATATGCTCACATCTTCTAGTGCTGTTCTTTTTTTTTTTCTTTTTCTTTCATTTCTGTAGTCTAAGACATTCTGTGCATCACCATGATGAGGGACAGAGTGCTAAAAACATAAGCGGCAAAATTATGTACAAATCAGTTCCTGCTCTAAAATAGGGGGACAATTTGAAGCAAGTGTCTTGGGCAGGGGTTTATATAGGCATCTAAAAGTCTAGGCTTTATATATTCACAAGAATCAATATACTTTCTGATGTTTGTGCTTGTAGTAAAAACACCAAATACTAGGATTATGAACAAAATAGAAAAAGTCCAAAAGTTTCTCTGGGAAAATGCTGATCCTGCCAACACCAGTTACAATAACACTTCCTACTCTAAAGAGACTATTAGCTCTCCTTTTTATAATATTGCCTGCCATACTTATCTCATCAAAATTTACATGTATTAAACATTCATTGTTTATATATATAGATATATTTTATAAAACAATCTAAAGGATTATTAATTGATATAATTTAGGGTTTTTTTCCATATAGTCCCTTAATCTACAGATTACCAACTTAATAAATAAAGCATTAATGGACATCAATAAAATATTTATTTTGAGGTTAAACAAATAAATTCGCGCACTAGCAATAAAACCTTCTGTCTCTTATGGAGTCCACTGGGATACAGTTTATCTTTGTGTCCTTGTGGAGGAGATGCAGTGGAGGGAACAAGGAGTCCTGCATTTAGTAACAGGTCTGTGTGAATGAGATTTCTCTCCTCCCACCACTGAGTTGGCAATGCCCACCCTGGAATGGATTACAAACATATGAGTATTTTTTTTTTAAGGCTCGACACAATATTGAGAGATGCTAGTCAGTCTCTAGCAAGTGGGGCCAACAATTATGTACAATGTGTGGTCACCGTACCGTGTAATCTAGGAGGCCTTTCAAATCTCCAAAAAAGTCATAATGTACAGCAGACCAAGTATTGCTTTATCATTTGTGACGGGATCCTTATTGGTGAAAGGGAAAAAACCATTTGCATTCATAAAATTCCTCGCAGAAGACATAGCAGCAGCAGAATCCTTGCAGGTCCATTTTTCTAAGAAAGCACCTTTTAATTATGATTTTTTTTTCCTTTTTTTAAACCATTTCTCTAAGCATTAGCTAGGATCCCAATCTTTGTCTGTGGCAGTCAGGTAAATATCAAATATTCAAAGACTTCTAGACACTCCACATACTTATTTCACACTCCACAAGATTTATAACCTCCTAACATACTTTTTTATTTTCATTATTTTTGGTTCAACATTAAAATGTGGTTGAGTTTATAGATGATTGCTGCTAAACTTGCCTCTAAAACGAATAGCCACATTGGTTGCATCTAAGGGGAACGACCCTAGAATATTACAGAATGCTCAGTTCCAATGACTTAGTTAGGATCCACTGTCAAGTTTCTTTGTCACTTTCACCAACAGAGTAGAGTTCGCCCAGTCTCTTAAAGCGGGGACCCCAGTCACTGAGGTAGTCAAAATTCTGGTCTGAGTCTGATGTGGTGGACTCCAGGGAGCTGAGAGAGCCAGCCACAGACCCTCGGCCTTCATAGCCATAAATTTGAATGGAGTCATATGGTGGGGCCGTGGGGTCATTATCTGCCTCATGCAGCCTCACATTTATAAATTCATCGACATCAACACCATTTGGAACTGGAGCAAGCCCTTGCCTTGGCATAAACTGCAAATCTGGTTTAATATCCTTACGGGGTAAAAATCCATTAATTCCATCTGGGTTTTGTAAAGTTGCAATGTCAAAAGCCTCTGTGTCCTCCTCCCCTCCGCCTTCGTCGTCATAGCGAATGATGTTTTCTCTAACGTCTTCATCATCTTTGATGATTAATGGCTCATTTTTGTGTCTCCTCAGAGTTACAAACAGCACCACAATGACTGTAGGAAAAAAAAAGTAAATGACAATGAGCCAAAGGAACATATCATCTTAGAATCAGCACACCATACAGGCTAAGAGAGAAGCATTTTGAGGAACTTATGATTAAACACCTTGCGTAACCCTCATGAGACAATTAAATTAAACCCCTTTCTGAAGGATGAACACTGAATTTTGACTAAAAGTTATTTCAGTTTACTTCTGCTTATTAATCGATGTTTGAGTTGAATTAAGCAGACAAGTTTGCACACAATAGTGGCGAAAGCTTCATTTCATGCTGGTATCAACTCTAGGGTAAATGATGTGAAATGGAAAATAGTAGGAGTTGTGTGAATAATTTTCTGGGTGTCCAAGGAAATCATTTTATAGCCTTTGCTTCTGTGTTTATTATTTACTAAAAGGGAGTAAACTCATTCTATCTAGTGTATTTTATGTTTTACAATTCTCTGAGTCATTCTCCAATTATTATTATTTTTTTACACAGAAATGAATGTCAACATTTTATAGGCAATTTCTTTTCTTGGATGAAGGCTAGAGCTCTTTTACCTGCAAAAGCAGCCCAAATGATGGAGACAGGTAAAAGACTGTGTACCTAGATAAGCAGAGTAGCTAAATCAAACTTGAAATAAAATATGTCATGAAAATATGTCAGGAAAGCATTGTGGGATACAGGGCCCTCGGTTAGCCAAACATGTAAGTGGAAAGACAGTTACTGGAATCATTTTTAAGGTGTTATATTGTTCAAGAAAAAATAAGATAAAACCTTTGTTATATTTTTCTGCCATCTAATCTCACTTTTATCATTAAATTTTAATGGACAAATTATAGAATCTTTCCTTTAATTTGCAATCTTTCCTATAATCTGATAATCCTAATTGAAACAAAATTGGAACATGAAGCCATTTTTAGAAAAATATAATTTCTGTCAGCTAGGATTTATTTTTATCTCTCCAAACTTTGGGCTATGATACAGTCAATAACCCAATCATGTACAGCATTCATATACATATAACATTATATATACCATTCACATACAGCAGCAATGTGAGCATCTGAAAGTCTCCTCTAGTAGAATGGTGGGCAACAGAATATTTAAAAGTCTTCTTACCTAATACTGTTTTAAGCACAGAAAAGCCCATCATCACTTCAATCAGTATTATGCTTTTGCTAAGCTTTGTGTATCTCTTCTCTGTTGATGGGATAGAAGAAGACACAGAAATGCTACTCTGTCTTCCCCTCCTCCTTCCTAGGGACCGCAAGAGTGCAAAACATGGGAGGTTTCTCTTCACTAAAATTAATGCTTACTTCTGGCCAGGTTAAAGTTTGCTGCCCTTATAGACGGTCATTTATGAATTAGAAGAAAAGCTGACACCAGGCTCTGAAGGAAATACGTACCTAGCAACAAAATGATGCACGCTAATATGGCAATTAAGGCGCCCATACTGAGTCCAATGGGAAGGACGTACGCTTCAACGTTACAGGACTGGACAACACCGTCAGTGCTGCAGCCACAGACCCGGATGGTCAGGGTGCTGGTGCTGCTCAGCGGAGGATTCCCACTGTCACTGATTACGATTGGTAAAAGGTAGACTTCTTGCTTCTGGCGGCTGAATCCATTATGCTTTGCCAAAATGCTGAGAGAATTATCTGGAAAAGTGAAAATCACAAGCAATGGCATTATTTCAAAAGGCTTCCTAAGCAATATTTGTTTTTCTAGTTCATAAATCCTCTGAAAACTTAGAGAGAATCCCAATTCCCCTGGACTATCCAATCTCTCTCCATTTTCCTTTGTCCAGCTTTTCCAATTGCCACGCACAAACAAATTCACCCCATAACGAATGAATGGAACTCCAGTATGAACTTGTGTTTTATCATAATATAAATAAAGACATTTTATGAAATTATCTATAAGCATCCTTTCAAAAGATACACGTGATACCACATCTTCAATAATCCGTAAGTAGATTTTTTAAAGCTTATTTAGATTAATAAGCTATTTAGCATGATTTACTGGATAGAATTTCACCACATTTGAAAGATTTGTTTCAGAAACTCTTTGTTATCTAAAGAGGATGGGAAAGGAAGGGAAGGGAAGGAAGGAA